TTACCTTAAAGACAAATGTTTCCTCCTGATACGCAGATTTGAAAAGCAGTGATTGCAGGTTTGAATGCTCAGAGGCTTGTTGTCCTTGCAGGTTTTTGAATCAGAGGCGTGTTATGGTTGCAGATTTGAAGCTTTGCAGTCGGGTGTTACCTGCTGTGGAGCCTGGAGGCAGTGAGGCTGAAGCACAGGAAGCTTCCTCTCCAGTTCAGGGAGGATGTGGAGCTCCGAGATGGATGTCACATGCAGAGGATATGTGTCTGTTGTCTTATACTGCCGTTAGTGAGTGTGTGTGTGTGTGTGTGTGTGTGTGTGTGTGTGTGTGTGTGTGTGTGTGTGTGTGTGTGGGAAGATACAAATGTGTGTGTGCATTTTAGGCAGAGATGGATTAGTGACGGGGTCTGCAGGTTAGAGGCCCAAAGTGTCAGAGCCTTCCTCTGCAAAAGGTCAGGGAAAAAAGACACGTACAACTAGGAAAACACAGACAGATGACCACAAAAGAAATACAAAACGACTACAGTGAGAAACGAAATGAACACAAAAAGGCACATAAAGAAATTAGAGATTGGAATTATCTACAAATGATGTTGCTACGTTCTGATTTAAAAGTAACTGCTGCAAATAGAGACCAACACAACTAAAAAGACTGCAACAATAAACCAAACTACTTTGAAGTTGACAAATGAGGGCAACACACACACACACACACACACACACACACACACACACACACACACACACACACACACACACACACACACACACACACACACACACACACACACACACACACACACACACAGGGTTTCCTCTTCCTTGCATCCTGCCTCAGATGTTCCCAGTACCCTCCCGGTAGATTGTGTGTATCTGTGTGTGATGTATTCAGGCCTGTTTGTGTGTGTGTGTGTGTGTGTGTGTGTGTGTGTGTGTGTGTGTGTGTCAGCATGACCCCACTTGTGCTTCCCTAAGGATAAACAAGAGACACGTGTATGCACACACTCTAGAAACAGAAAGAGACTTGACCTGTCATCGCAGTGCACGTCCTGTCCACAACAAACACACACACACACACACACACACACACACACACACACACACACACACACACACACACACACACACACACACACACACACACACACACACACACACAGCTCATATTGATGGACAGGGGCTTCACTCTGGTGAAAACACACATCTTTATGATGACCTTCCTGACCCGGCTCCTCCCTGCATTCCTCAATGAGACGCTACAGGTGAATAGGGTTAAAAATGTAACTAATAAATATCACCATGAAACTCCCACAGTTCATTACTGACATTAAGACAAATGAGGCATAAGCTTATTAAATATGCTAATTCGCTTTCATTACCAGACCAGAAATTGTGAACATTGGAGAAAGCTGTATGTTTGTGTGTGTGTGTGTGTGTGTGTGTGTGTGTGTGTGTGTGTGTGTGTGTGTGTGTGTGTGTGTGGTGATGGGGGCGCTGGTGACAGTGACACACATCCTTTGACCTTTGACCACGCCGCCTTAGTCAATCCTGACAACCTGCATCAACAGGAAATCTGTGGCCTTGACAAACACACACACACACACACACACACACACACACACACACACACACACACACACACACACACACACACACACACACACATAGATGTGCCCAGTTGTATTCTTAAATAAGAACAAATAGCTTTGGCCTTCCAAGAAAAACCCATTATTCTTGTTTCACGCAGAATGAAAGTGAAATCACAGCATGGAACATGAACCTGGTGCCCTCTTAAATCTTCTATTTATGGCATTTTGAGAATAATTATAGCAACAAACAACAAACACATGTCTACAAATGTCCAGCAACAGGCGTCCTTATCCCTGTGTGTTATAATAAATGTATCCGTGTTCACAGGAAACTATTTCGATTATTTCAGGAAAGATGGATGTTTCGGTTAAAGTAACAATGGAAGTGGAGAAGTTAGGACAAATAAATCTGTTCCTTATCGCTTTTTATACTTCATAGTTCACAAATAAACAATTACATAAAAAATGTTTTTGTAAAACGTACCATACAATGCACTACTACTTTTTAAAGCTACAATCAGTGTAAGAAAACCGCCTCTGTTAGCACTGTTAGCCATTAGCACCGTTAGCTCTTATAACCGTTAACTATTCGAATTGTTAGCTGTTAGCACTGTTAGCTGTTAGAATGTTAGCCATTAGCACCGTTAGTTGTTAGAACTGTAAGCTGTTAGCACTGAGGTATTAGAATTGTTAGCTGTAAGAGCGTTAGCAATTAGCACCGTTAGCTGTTAGTACTGTTAGCACAGTTAGCTGTAGTTCCTTCATAGCCCAACCTTAGCCTCCTTTAGCATAGCAGTGGTGACGTGAAGTCATGTGACCGTACTGTAGTTCCTTTATAGCCCAACATTAACCACCTTTAGCTTAGCGGTGGTGACGTGAAGTCATGTGACCGTACTGTAGTTCCTTTATAACCCAACATTAGCCACCTTTAGCTTAGCGGTGGTGACGTGAAGTCATGTGACCGTACTGTAGTTACTTTATAGCCCAACATTAGCCACCTTTAGCTTAGCGGTGGTGACGTGAAGTCATGTGACCGTACTGTAGTTCCTTTATAACCCAACATTAGCCACCTTTAGCTTAGCGGTGGTGACGTGAAGTCATGTGACCGTACTGTAGTTACTTTATAGCCCAACATTAGCCACCTTTAGCTTAGCGGTGGTGACGTGAAGTCATGTGACCGTGCTGTAGTTCCTTTATAGCCTAACGTTAGCTTTTTCCTTCCAAAATCATAAAGTGGTGTTAAAATGTGGATATTATCCTGCTGGACAAAACTTGTAAGTATTATAAACCTTTGTTTGCAACAGAGATTATTTTCAGCAATACTTCAAAATCCAATGGAAAAATCCCATAGTTTTTTTGTGAAGGGAACCAGGTAGATGCTACCTTCAGGGTCTGATTACTAGAATACGTCATCCTAGCTCTACTCTATTTAAGTAGTTTGTAGGCGCTGCAACCAGATGCCTCATGCGGAGGCTGAGTAAACCTCACATGTGCTGCCTGAAAATAACTGTGGTTATTAATAACTGCTGTCTCTGCAGAGAGCAGGAAGTTCATGATATTTCATTGATGTTTGTTCCAGCAGCAGAACACGGAGGCAGTTTCTAGTTTCCACAGGAAGGAGAGGACGCCACACCTTCTACTGTGGAAATATGCACTTTATTATTTCAGATTATCTGCCAATGCTGCCCTCTTGAGGTTTCACATTACATCTGCTGCATGGAGGAGAAACAGCGTGTGTGTGCGTGCGTGTGTGCGTGCGTGCGTGCGTGTGTGCGTGCGTGTGTGTGGGTGTGTGTGTGTGTGTGTGTATGTGTGTGTGTCAGATGTGAGCTGCAGAGGGCGCCACAGGAACTGCTACAAAAATATCTTCAAAAGGGAAACTCCAAATATGTTGTTACATTACATTTCATTTAGCTGTCGCTTTTATCCAAAGCGACTTACAATTACCAATTACAGGGACATTCTCCCTGGAGTAACTAAGGACTAAGTGCCTTACTCAAGGGCACACTAGTGGTGGTGTTCCTGGCGGGATTTTAACTCACAACCTTCCGATCTTCTATCCATTAGACCACCACTATCATATGTTATGTCCCATTATTAGTGTTTTTAATATTTTTGAAATGTTTACATCTTCATTTATAGCATCTAGTGTCTTCTGATTGTCTGTTTTTAAATATGATGCATTTTCCTTTATATTTAAAGCAACTTGAGCTGCCTCCCTTGCATGAAAAGTCTATTAATCAGTGGTGTAAAGTAACTAAGTACATTTACTCAAGTACTACAGTATACTTAAAGGTGGGGTAGGTAATTTTGGAGAAACCAGCTCGAGTGCATAGAATTTGAAAATGCACAACCGGAGAAAATGTGCCACTCCCTTACAGAGCCCCTCCTCCAACACACACGAACACGCACATGACCAATGAGGGCACGAGATAAGTTTGTGCACAGATGGAAGGCTGACAGGCAGGTAGGCCATCCAGTTATTTTAGCCGGGCCGGCTCAGATGATTGGTCGTGCTTTTTACAGTATTACGGCTTCCACAGATGATATTTTTTTATGGATATTTTGTCAAAGCACTTAAGATATTCATTGCTATCGGGATGTTAAGAGCATTTCATGGAATATAACAAAAAGTGTATCTCGAGCCGGTTTCTCAAACTTACCTACCCCACCTTTAAGTACAATTTTGAGGTACTTGTACTTTACTTGAGTATTTACATTTATGCTACTCTGTATCTCTACTCCACTACAATTCTCTTTTGATAACACTTTCATGATCAATCATTATAAAACATATCATATATATTATTCTGAAATGGACCAATCTGCACAATGACTACTTTTACTGTCGCTACTTTCACTATATTTTGATGAGAATACTTTTCTACTTTTACTTGAGGAACATTTTGAATGCAGGACTTTCACTGTAACAGAGTATTCCTACACTCTGGTACTTCTACTTTTACTCAAGTACAAGATCTGAGTACTTCTACTTTTACTCAAGTACAAGATCTGAGTACTTCTACTTTTACTCAAGTACAAGATCTGAGTACTTCTACTTTTACTCAAGTACAATACCTGAGTACTTCTCCCACCTCTGTACAAATGTACAGTTTTTTTCAGTCAGTCTGGTGGCTTTGGTTTGTCCGACAGCAAGTTAAAGTAGTAGAAATATTCTCAATATAACATTAGATCCAATCCATTACTTTGTGAAACTCTTGCTCGTGAAGTTCCTTTTCGTTTTTTCCTCATCGTGCAATGTTCAAGTCTAACCTGAAGGTGTCACCAGATTCCATCTAACATTTAATAATCCATTCCTTGCACAATTAATGTATATATATATATATATATATATATATCCTGCTTTATATTTTGTTACTGTAAATTTGTATTTCCACATGTATATATTTTACTTTTTTAATGCTATTTTATTTCTATTTGGACTTTTTGGATTGTTTATTTCCAGTCTCTTAATTTCTCTAATGTAAAATGCCTTGTCTTTTTAAGCTGCTGCAACGCAAACATTTTCCAAATTGGGATCAATAAAGTACTTCTTATCTTATCTTATCTTATTAAAGGTCAGAGGTCAGCGTCTCTGCAGAGAGGAAGTGGCTTCTCTGCGAGCCGGATCCTGTTTCAGCTTTCTAAGTTTAGTCTGTCAGGGTGAGGCTGATGTAAGATCAGCACATGTTGCATCTGCTCAGCTGAAAGCAGGAGGGCAGGTTCATGGAGAAGCATTTAGAAAGATCCATTAAAGCAAGCAGAGTTCAACAAGAGTCTGAGAAAACTGCACTTATTAATGATGTGCAGCAGAGAGAAAGAACTAAAAGTCACATGGTATGATTGATATTAACACACCACTGTATTCATTCATTCATTCTAGTTAAGACCTGGCTCAAAAGGCCACAACAAAGAGGAGACACACCATATCAACGGTTAATAAAATATGTTTATTTAAGCAAGCAATTCAAATTAACCAAATTAATGAAGTGCAAAGCGAGTAAAGCATGAGGTATGGACGTCAGTGGTATCAGTAGTGTAAACGCAGGGTGAGGGTTGCATGGACGTGTATGTGTGAGGCTGGGAGCTGGGGCTGGGAGCTGGGGCTGGGAGCTGGGGCTGGGAGCTGGGGCTGGGAGCTGGGGCTGGGAGCTGGGGCTGGAAGCTGGGGCTGGGAGCTGGGGCTGGGAGCTGGGGCTGGGAGCTGGGGCTGGGAGCTGGGGCTGGGAGCTGGGGCTGGGAGCTGGGGCTGGGAGCTGGGGCTGGGAGCTGGGGCTGGGAGCTGGGGCTGGGAGCTGGGGCTGGGAGCTGGGGCTGGGAGCTGGGGCTGGGAGCTGGGGCTGGGAGCTGGGGCTGGGAGCTGGGGCTGGAAGCTGGGGCTGGAAGCTGGGGCTGGAAGCTGGGGCTGGAAGCTGGGGCTGGAAGCTGGGGCTGGAAGCTGGGGCTGGAAGCTGGGGCTGGAAGCTGGGGCTGGGAAGCTGGGGCTGGGAGCTGGGGCTGGGAAGCTGGGGCTGGAAGCTGTTAACACATGTTAATGTATGATTGGTGCTCGAGTTGACTGCCTGAACTAACTCGCAGGCTTCGCCCCATTTGTTAAACTGAATATCAATAATTATAATAGACATAAATAACTCAAAGATGGGGGTTGGTGGAAAACTAAAACACATTTTCTATTTTTTTTTATTTATCAAGAAATGTTTTCTATAGAAAGCACACATTTAAAATCCACCACAGGCTTGGATTCTCTTGAATGTCTGTGAAAGTAAAATATAAAATGGCACCAAAAGGTAAAACTGTATTTAAAGTGATGACTCAGGACTCTAAGGTAATCCCTCTGGCTCCAGACTTCTGTCTCTCTTCAGCATTAACATTGCATTCAAACTCTAAAACTCTATAAATAGAAGATATGCATTTATGATGAGCTCTCAGTCTGACTCCAGAGCTGTTTCAAATGTGCAATATAAATAAACTTCATATGGATTCATATTAATATACGGGTTGTTCTGCTGATCATTTTCTCCATTTATTGATAATTGTTTTGCTTTGTAAAATCTATTATGTTTTTTAATTTTTATAAATACATTTGAAATAATTTAAAAGACAAACACCACATTTTCAAAGTTAATAATCACAAAACTATAATAAATAACATTACATTACAGTTGAAATCATTTCACAATTATAAGTTACGGTACGTCCCCACGGCAGCGTCGCGTGCTTCAACGGAGACGCTTCCCATTCACTTTGAAAGGGGTGACGTCGCGCTTTGCCGAACTGCATTGTGGTCGCGTCGCTTTGCCTCCGTCGCTCGCTTCGAAAGTTGAGAAAAGTTTTCAAGCGTCGACGGAAGCGTCAGCCAATCAAATCATATGCCAGTACAAGCGCTAGCCAATCAAACCGCGTGCTTGTGTGTCCGGGGCGGGAGATTAATGTGATTGGTTGTTGGTCCACGCCAGACACGCCCACCGGCAAGCTTCAACGCGACGGAGACGTGTGGACGCACCGTTACAGCCCCTACACACGGCGGCGTGCGTTGAAGCTTGTCTGAAGCTCGACCAACAACCAATCACATGAATATCCCGCCCCGGACACACAAGCACGCGGTTTGATTGGCTAGAGCTTGTACTGGCATATGATTCGATTGGCTGGCGCTTCCGTCGAAGCTTCAAAAGTAGAACATTGCTCTACGTTTGAAGCGAGCAACGCAATGCAGTTCGGCAAAGCGCGACGTCACCCCATTGTGGTTCCGTCGCTTCGCTTTGCTCGCGTTGCTTGCTTGTGTGTCCGGGGCGGGAGATTAATGTGATTGGTTGTTGGTCGACTTTCAGACACGCCCACCGGCAAGCTTCAACGCGACGGAGCCGTGTGGACGTACCGTTACAGCCCCTACACACGGCGGCGTGCGTTGAAGCTTGCCGGCGGGCGTGTCTGAAGCTCGACCAACAACCAATCACATGAATCTCCCGCCCCGGACCCACAAGCACGCGGTTTGATTGGCTAGCGCTTGTACTGGCATATGATTTGATTGGCTGGCGCTTCCGTCGAAGCTTGAAAACTTTTCGCGTTGCTTGCTTGTGTGTCCGGGGCGGGAGATTAATGCGATTGGTTGTTGGTCGACTTTCAGACACGCCCGCCGGCAAGCTTCAACGCACGCTGCCGTGTGAACGTACCGTTAATGATTATTTTAATTATGGATTCATCTAAATCAGGAGTGCCGTCACAAAAATATACAATTATTACAATATCACCAAATCCTTACATTTAAACCACAAATACACTTTCTTTTGAATTATTACAAGTTACTCTAATAGTCAAACTTGTTATAGTTGATTGACCAAAGCAGAACATAATAGACATTCAGTGAAAACACGTCTTTCTGAGACGGAGAGCAGCAGAAGAAGAAAGAAAGGGAAACCCCAGAGCACCTCAAAGGAGAGTGAACGTTAAATAATGAAGAAGGAGTCGTGAGTAATGTTTAATTTAGATCGTTTAATGTTAATTCCATGCTGTGTTTCAGTCAGAACGTACAGACTCCCTGTCTGCGGCTCCAGTCAGATCTCCAGTAGTACAAATCAGCTCCAAGTTTACACACAATGAAGCAAAAAACGAGAAAGAAAGAAAATCCTCGGAAACCAGAGGAGCTTTTTTAGTGAAGAACAGAAAGTGTTAACTCATGCAAGCACTGACCATCTTCTTTTTATTATTTTAGGGCTCTCGGTTCGAGAAGCGACGGACGAATCGAGTGTGAAATCTCCCATTTTTCTTTTTAAATTAAAAACCACCAGCTAGCTGCAGAGATCCAGTTACAGTATTTCAGCACAAAAGTACAGTCCAAGGACAAAAACATGACGACAGAATCACGATGGTGTAAAAGTTTGCACGCCTTTGCCCCATGTGGATACTCCCCCAAACCCCCCCCCCCCCCCCCCCCAAAACAAAAGGGCACGTTACCAAATCGCCCGTCAAATGATTCGCATGACATGTCACTAAAAACAGATAAAACACCTCCCATAACTAATAGTCAACATTATCAGTAATAAAAGTTAATTTCTGTAATTACATAAATCTCAATACATCCAGCAGACTGATCAAGATATTGAGGGGAAAGCAAAAAAAAAACAACAACATACCATAATGAATATTTCAGAACCGCTTGTACCAGGACAGAAAAACAACAACAACAACAACAACAGGGACTCTCTTCAGTCTCCTCTCTAACGGCTTCCTGTCTCAATTAAGTGCTATTTTACTCGTTTAATGAAGTAAGGACTAATATAAAAATAAAAAATAAAGAGAAAAATAAAGTTGTTAACTCTGTGGCCCTGCTGGGTCGAGGAGCTGCAGAGGGGAGGGGGGGGGGGGGGGGGGGGTGGGGGGGGAGGGGAGAGAGGAGGAGGGGGGGGGAGGGGGGAGAGGAGATGAGGAGGGTTGAGGGTCTGGAAGATGGAGGAAGGAGGAGATGAGGAGGGTTGAAGGTCTAGATGGAGGAGGAATATGGAGGAGGAATATGGAGGGTCTAGAGAGTGTGAGGGAGGGTCTGAGTTGTTGGAGGAGGTGAGGAAGAGGAGGAGGATTGAGGGTCTGGAGGAGGAAGATGAGGGAGGGTCTGAGTTGTTGGAGGAGGTGAGGAAGAGGAGGAGGATTGAGGGTCTGGAGGAGGAAGATGAGGGAGGGTCTGAGTTGTTGGAGGAGGTGAGGAAGAGGAGGAGGATTGAGGGTCTGGAGGAGGTGAGGAAGAGGAGGAGGATTGAGGGTCTGGAGGAAGATGAGGGAGGGTCTGAGTTGTTGGCTGTCGGTTGGTCGTCTCACTGAGCTTCATCCTCAACGTCCTGCAGCGCCTCTTTGTTCTGTTCTTCACCTGGAACACAACAACAACAACAACATTTCAATTATTTTTTTTATTTATGTTTATTAAAAAGGAGACATTTTATTGTTCAACCTGTACTCTACTTTTTATTAAATTAAATGATTATAATCATTTAATTTTATCATTATTTCTTGTTTTACCTAAACTATATTTAAGCAATAGCTCACGACGTGGTTCTCATGACGTGATTCTCATGACGTGGTTCTCATGACGTGGTTCTCATGACGTGGTTCTCATGACGTGATTCTCATGACGTGGTTCTCATGACGTGATTCTCATGACGTGGTTCTCATGACGTGATTCTCATGACGTGGTTCTCATGACGTGGTTCTCATGACGTGGTTCTCATGACGTGATTCTCATGACGTGGTTCTCATGACGTGGTTCTCACGACGTGATTCTCACGACGTGATTCTCACGACGTGATTCTCACGACGTGATTCTCACGACGTGGTTCTCACGACGTGATTCTCACGACGTGATTCTCACGACGTGGTTCTCACGACGTGGTTCTCATGACGTGGTTCTCACGACGTGATTCTCATGACGCGTCGGGCCGAACCACGCCCCTTAGCTGTGATATAATGAGCATATATCACGGCCTGAAGTGAGCTATTGCTTTTATAAAACGGTTACCAAGTGTGGCAATATGAAAGAAAAATACACACTCTAATTTAAATAGTTGTTATTAGTAAATAATGATGTTCAAAATAAAATAGTCCCTCTGTTGCCTTCTGCACGAAACATAGTGCGAGGTGGTTGCTATGCAACAACACTAACAACAGCCAGCGAACAGAGAGCGTTGATCCATTATTTGGCTATTTATTTACATTAATGTGTATGTTGCTGTTTATTGTGCACCCACTGAAAACCTGTCCAGCATCAGTAGCATGGCTTACGTGGTTACTTGTATAGGCTGAGGTTGTTCTAGGCTGTTGCTTGGCGTGGAGAGAATATTGCTCCACTTTCTCCGGTCCCCGAGATTCGGCTTCCAGTAGCTCTGGAGAGAGCTTTCTCACCTGTGGCCACTAACGGTCATAATTTCTCTGCTTTGTTTCAAGACCCGCATCAGAAAGCTTTTGAATGGTGGTACTTTTCCAGTTGGTCTACCTGCTCTTCACGTAGCTCTACATGTCGTCGTTTAGGTGCTCTCTGGAGATAGGCACTGCTCAATCCACTCCTCCATAGTGAGACCCACCCGGAGGTCCAAGTTAACCTTAATGTTTCCATTTTGAGCTTTGTTAGTTAGTTAGTTTCGTAACGGACGTAATGTAACAGTTGTAACGGTTGTAGCTTTTTCTCAGGAGGGATACTGACTTGTGAAAAGTAACTACAATTCTACCCATGATATACGCTCATTATATCACGGCTAAGAACCAATCAGATTGCTTGATTTGACTTGTCCGTTTTATAAGTAGAAAATATGAAATGATATGCTGAACAAAGTGCATCTGTTAATGAAATAAGCCAATCAATAAAAAGTATTACAAAAAATAAGATTATTTAATTAGACAGATAGCTGATAAAAGCTTTAAAAAAAAAAGCACTGTCTAAACTAAATGCTGCGGTGATGAAACGCCATATCATGGATTATCAAGGATTCTCTCTGAAACAGTATGGAGCTCAAAGGCTTTCTCTCTTGCCGGTTATACCACAAGGTGAGTTCCTTTTTATTTCCTGCTTCTTCACACACATGCTCTCCAGTACAGGTTAGCTCTGAGTGTTAGCGATGCTAATGTAAACACCGACCATATTACGTCCAAAACAGTCGGGCATTGTTTCTGATAGCATTGTTTCTGATAGCAACGTTTCTGATAGGGCCGTGGGTCCACATTTCAGATATTACGTCATATCGGACGCAAATCTGGATCAGCTCCGTTGTTCCCCCGTTTTTAGAGATTTGGGTACGGAGGAAAAGAGAGAGGGTTTTATTTCCTGACGCTGCGTGAGTTCCCTGACACACCGGGGACACATGTTTATGTATAAAAGACATCAAAAAGTGCATTTTGCATGATAGGTCCCCTTTAAGTACAGTTTTAAATGAAGTATAAAAGCGTTTTCGGCAGGTTACCGAGAGATGAGTGAGTTAGTTCATCCGTTAGTGTTTCTAGTCCAGATTTCAGATACAGTAATAAAGTGGCAGGCTGTGGCTCAGTGGGTAGTGCGCTGAACTTCGAATCAGGGGGTAGCAAGTTTGAGTCCCATTGCAGTCAGCATGTCGTTGTGTCCCTGAGACAATTCACCTCAAATTGCTCCTGTGGGGATTTCCCACAGTATTGAGTATGTAAGTCGCTTTGGATAAAAGCGTCTAACAAGTAGCATGTAATGTTTAGGGATGGGAACGATTAATCGAATATTCGAAATTATTCAGGTATGAGAATATGAGAATATGAGAATATGAGTTATGAATATTTTTATTGTAATTTTTTTTTTTTTTGGGTGGGGTGCCTAAGTTGATTACATATTATCAAATGGAATAATTCAATGTATACGACAGTGCCATATAGCTAAATGTGTCAGGTCTAAAGGTGTGTTTTGCTCCGCTCACCGGTCCATCACAGCAGAGCTGCAGGTTCTGATCTCTCTCTCCGAGTGAAATTACTTCACTCGCGTTTCTGTCCAAATCCATCAGAAAACCAAGTTCTGTTTTAAGCATGAAAGCTCTAGGTCTATAGCTGTCACCTGTTCAAACTGTGATCACCAGTTCAATACATTTGACAAATTCGACTTGGTTTCTATACTTATTTGAACATGTATTTATTTATTTTTCAAAATTAAAAAAATATTTCCCACATTTTTTTTTTGTTTTTTTTATAGGATATGTACATTTCGGTTAACCGTTTTTTTGGGTGTCGAATAATCGAATATACATTTGCTTTCAAATTCCCATCCCTAGTAATGTAATGTAAAGTATATTAGTAGTTATGAATGGAGCCACGTTGATACAACAGATCTCACCTTCTCCCTGCATATCTGAAGTCCATAATGTGAGGTTATCACGTAACAACTGCATGATGAGTGTGGAGTCCTTGTAGCTGTCTTCATTCAGTGTGTCCAGTTCTGTGATGGCGTCATCGAACGCAGCCTTCGCCAACCTGAGACACACACACACACACACACACACACTTCTGTTAAAGAAAAGAGCCTTTTACTCTGAAAAATACAAGCATTTCACTGTTAAACCCAGTCTTTTACTCCCGGTAGATTAAACTCAAAAAGATGGAGGCTTCTCTGACATAAGGGCTTCTTTTAAAGCGTCAGAATAACTCCTATGATCTAATTTTAGACGGTAAATCCCAGCTTATTCTTCTAGTGAATGATCCTAAAAGAGAGAGTGTGTGTATGACCTGCAGGCGCGGTCGGGGGAGTTGAGGATCTCGTAGTAGAAGACGGAGAAGTTGAGAGCGAGTCCCAGGCGGATGGGGTGCGTTGGAGGAAGCTCCAGCATGGCGAGGTCTGTTGCAGTTTTATACGCAACGAGACTGTTCTCTGCTGCCTCCTTCCTGTTGTTCCCCGTGGCAAACTCTGCCAGGTACCGGTGGTAATCTCCCTTCCTGTGGGGAGAGAGAAGAAATCAAGACATTAACTGGATGAAGGCTTAGGTCACATTCACACCGGCCTGGTTTAGTCCGGTTGAATCGAACCCTGGTGCGTTTACCCCCTTGGTGCGGTTTGTTTGGGTTGGAGACCTCTGAACTAAACAACCTGAAAGAGGTGGTCTCAGACCTCTGGAGTGAACTAAACAACCTGAAAGAGGTGGTCTCAGACCTCTGGAGTGAACAACCTGAAAGAGGTGGTCTCAGACCTCTGGAGTGAACTAAACAACCTGAAAGAGGTGGTCTCAGACCTCTGAAGTGAACAACCTGAAAGAGGTGGTCTCAGACCTCTGGAGTGAACTAAACCTGAAAGAGGTGGTCTCTTGCTAGTGAACTCTGGAGCGGTTCATCTCTGTGAACGCAGTCTGCAGCTAAACATAGGAAGCGTAGTAATTACGAGTCACAAGAATGCGGATGTCTTCTTAAAAATGCTCCGTCAACTACACATAAAAGTCAGAGCCACCTGTCGTCGGGGAAACCCCCTCCTGACTGCAGGACGTCTCTCATTATATGTGTTATCATGTCTTTTATCGCACGTTGTCTGATTTTATAATCATATGTGCCGTCCACTAGATTCTGTAGAGATGCTCTCCAGATCAACAGCAGCATGGAAATAACCTGCCGACGCTCCAAAGCTACGGTAGATTTGCGTTTTTACCCCTTAATGTCTGACTAATGGTTGAACAGCATTTCCGTGCACATGACTCGTGTTTAAAGTTTATAGTCTGTTTGAGTTTTGCCCGTGTGAACGCAAACCGAACCTTCTGAAAAATTAAACCATGTAACAAACTGTCGTCTGGTGCAAAGAAGCGGGGGCCACATACAGAAAAATAAACTCACTCGAGGTATATCGCCTCATAAGTTCAGTTATAAGTAGGGATGTCCCGATCCGATCACGTGATCGGGGATCGGGAGAAAAAAATCGGGGATCGGATTTTTTTTTTTTTTTTATAAAATATTTTTATACATTTTATTTAATGTTACAAAACAAAAATGACCATGTTCACGTCTTGAAGTCATCCTGAGGCCTTAGTTTTGGGTTAAAATTACACAACATCATGTATGTGTTGCTTCTTTTGGGCTTGTTTTCATAGACCTGGTTGCTTATTTCTCTCAAATCTGGCAACAGAGTGGGCGCAGTGTCTAATAGTAGCAGTAAGCTAACGAGAGGCTACGTTCAGCTGGTGACTCGGGAGTCGGGACAGAGAAAATGTCAGGAGTTTGGAAGTATTATAAAATTGAAAGCGAAGGCAGTGTAACAGCCAGATGCAATGTTTGCAAGGCGGAGGTTCCGCGTGGTGGAAAGAACAGAGCTACGTTCAACACGACCAATCTAATACGAACACCAACAACAACACGAGGAGTACACAGCGGCCACTCAGGTAACGGCACTGAAACAACCGACACTTTCAGAGACTTTTAAAAAGGAAAGAGAAACTGCCCCAGAACAGTGAAAAGGCCAAAAAAATAACAGCCAAGATAGCTGAATTCATCGCGTTGGATGACCAGCCGTTATCTGTTACCTTTTTTTTCTCTTAATGCATTGCATAAAGATCGGATCGGGAAAAATCGGTATCGGCAGATTGTCAAAATCAAATGATCGGAATCGGATCGGGAGCAAAAAAAGGTGATCGGGACATCCCTAGTTATAAGTTAGCTAAATCAATCAAATGTAGGCACAAGAAGCTTGGGACTGTTGGCAGCTCATCCCTCAGAGTGATTATAATAAGGAGAAATATGAAGGGTGTATTTCAAGCTTGTTATGTAAATAAGTCATTGGGCTTTTTTCTTATCAACTAAGATTTGTTAGAAAATGTTTCCAACTTGAATTGACTGAATTTATTTGAAAAGTGATCTTATTAAAACACGTGAATACTACTATTATATTTAAGAAATACATTATAAGACAAGCACAAGTTTCATTTGTGGGCCGTATTACATTATACTTTTTTAATTTGCTGAGGGCCGATTCAAAATGGGCCGCAGTTTGGACACCCCTGGTCTATCCTTCTTCATTTGCGGGACCCTGTATCTCTGATGTTTAAGGTGACAATGAATATTCCCCGTTTCCTTCGACTCACATTTTGTTGTAGAAGACCTTGGACTCTCCCATGACGGCCGAGGGGAGCAGGTGTCGCTCCAGAGCGTCCAGGATGTCTCCACAGATATCCTTCAGCTCCTTTTCAACCTGCACACACACACACACACACACACACACACACACACACACACACACACACACACACACACACACACACACACACACACACACACACACACACACACACACACACACACACACACACACACACACACACACACACACACACACACACACACACACACACACAACACACACACACACACACACACACACACACACACACACACACACACACACACACACACACACACACACACACACACACACACACACACACACACACACACACACACACACACACACACACACACACACGACTTGTTTGGTATACTGTACAGTGGTGTTTCTAGAAAGATATAGTCTGAGGTGATACTGTGTCTCTGAGAACATGACACTCGTATACAAGATGTCTCCTGACGTAAACAACAACGTGACGTAAACAACAACGTGACGTCAGAGCTCCGTAAAAACAAAGCTGTCTCTGCCGTCTGACGCTCTGTTTGATTCTCATTTTTCTGGAGGAATTATACAGTTTTTGACGAACAGAAATATTGTTTTCTGTTCGTCACTTTAACATTTTTAGCTCGCCAAGCAAATCCAAAATGTACACACAAAAATCATCAATCATAGCGAACTCTATCTACTTACTACAACTCTATATCTATCTAACACCCCTCCTCCCCCCTCCCCCCACAATGAATATCGACCAATCACGTTCTTGCTTGATTTGCGGGACCAGTGTTGCAGTGGGGAAGTAAAGCAATGTGGAGCGGCACCTCACCGCTTCATAAGGAGTGTGACCTTTCCTTCAGGCAGAACCTACACAACACATCAGCCCCATTGAGCAGCCGAGTCCTGCCAGCCTGTACAGCACACGAGGGCCAGAGTGTTACTGTGTGTGCTGCAACTTGCATATATATTTATTGCACTTGAAGCACACATACACAGTGTGTCCCCCACTTTTCAAAATCCCGTTTGTGTCCCCCCCACTTTACAAATATGTTTTATTATGGGAGGCGTGTGGCGCAGTGAACTAGTGCGTTGGTGTTGGGATCAGGGGAGCACAGGTTCAAACCCCACTGCAGTCAGCATGTCGTTGTGTCCCTGAGACACTTCACCCCAAAGTGCTCCTGTGGGGATTGTCCACAGTATTGTGTATGTAAGTCGCTTTGGATAAAAGCGTCTAACAAGTAACATGTCATGTAATGTAATTTTTTTTTTTTTAACGCAAGCTGTTTTCGCCACGGAGGAGCACACAGCCTCTCTGTGTGTGTGTGTGTGTGTGTGTGTGTGGCACGAGCGCATTTTGTGTGTGTGTGAGCGAGACACAGAGAGAGAGAGAGAGAGAGAGAGAGAGAGAATATAAATATATAAAATAAATAAGAAATACCAGTGTTTCCCCTATCATTGTCTTGGCATTTTTTTTTTTGTAATACATATATATATATATATATATATCACCAAATTGCAACTAATCTACCTACTGTCACTTTTCACATTGAACATGTGCTCTTTTCTTAAATAAACTAAACACTGTCACTTTAAGTTGTGAGTTTAGTGTTTTTGACCCTAAGAAACACCGATGCATTAATCAATAACAAATCCACAGCTCCTCTCTCTGCTCCAGAGGATTTACAAAAAATATATCCCCCCCCCCCCCCCGCCCCCCCCCAAAGCAGTAAACCTAGGGGAAACACTGAATACAGTTTAAAAGGGCAGTGATTAGTAAAATCAGCATAAATAGAAAGAAAGAATGCTAACTAGGAAACATCAGATCAGAATAAACCAGTTTGAATGATTTGTTATTGGTTGTGATCATATTCTAAAGAGGTTTGGATTATTGAAAGTATCCAGCTCTCTTTCATCTGAGTGTTGAGAGCTGTTTCCATACATTCATGTTGTGCTCAAAGTGCTCCAGATGCTTTTCACTTAGACATTTAAAGAAAATGTTCCCCCCACATATAATAATGTTAAAATGTGCTAAATATATAGACTGCAAAAGCAAACAACAGAGGGGTAAAAGTGGCTCACGACTTGTTTTACTTCTTGAAAGTAGCTCTCACCCTAAAAAAGGTTGGAGACCCCTACTCTAAAGCAACTCCTCGTGTGAAACCAGGCGTCTGCTCTCCTCGTGGGACTCGAGGAACCACAAAGAAATGAAAGTGCCACGGCAGGATTTAATCCCATTAGCTCATTGACTGCAGCCCCCCCCCCTCCTCCCCCCCCTCTCTCTGACGCAAAGTGGCCCCTCCCAGAATAATGGGCCGATCCAATTTCTTTCATAAAACAAGGAGAGGAGGATTTACTACGATGACTCAGATGCAGTTTGTCCACGAGCTGAATGCAGTACATTTACTGTAATGAACATTTTGAGGTGATACTTTTTATTTCAACATGTATATTTTTCTATTATTCTTATTGCTGTTTTATTTCTATTTTGAGATGTTTACATTTTAGAATTGTTTATTTCTACTCTTTTAATTTCTCGTATGTGAAATGCTTTGTTTTGATGTTGCTGCAACGCAAACATGTCCCGATCAATAAAGCACATCTTATCTGATCTTAATTCACAGCCAAGTATTGTATATTTACTTCACTCTCAGTGCGCCCTCAAACCAAAATGCAGATGTTCCCCGTAAAGTGATGCCAGAAAACAATATTTCTGTTCCTCAAAAACATTATAATTTCTCCAGAAATATGAAAATCAGACTTGTATAAAATATATATATTTCTACCGTTTGCCTGTAGTCCTGGATCATCTTGATGACAAATGACAAATGACCATATATGGCTCGACAGGAAGTGACATCATGAGGGTTTTACCGACACTGCACAGTATGGTATTAAAATTAAGTAACATATCTTAAACTTGACGAACATAAGAAATAACATAAATAAATATTAGAAATAATTAAAAATATAGTAAAATATTGCAGTATTTACATAGAAATATAATGGAAGAAGAAGAAGGAATAAAATATGGAATAATATTTGGCAGTAATACAAAAAAGAAAACAGATATTGTACATTGTGTGCATTAATACAGGAAGTGACGTGCTGTTTTCTTGTGTTACCGACAGTCCATTATGGTATTACAATTATTCAGTATAATATCAGAAATACAACTTAAAGAACACTATTATCACCACAAATATGAGATTGAGATTAATTTGTAAGAATTGTGTTAAAATAACTAGTTTTAATGTTAATGTTAAATGTTGTTGCTGTCAACAAAATAATTTACTCATTCACTCAAACGGAAAATAAGCTACATACATTTATATTTAGTATTGTAATGAAGGAATTAATGAAAATGAAAATGATAGGTATGATGTAAATATGTGTATTTATCCTTTTTGACATGTTAGTTATGTTGTGTTCTTGGTTTGATCAAATGGGAAGTTGCACCAAATGATTTGATGCAATTAGCCGACATAAAAGGCCTCAAATTGGAAGTACTGTCTGGGCTGTCTTTTTCGGTTAGGTCGGAGATCTTGGGCTTAAAAAGGTTGGTGCTCTACAGGAAGTGACATGCTGCTTTGATGTATTCTTGTGTTTTCTTACCGTTTGCCTGTAGTCCTGGATCATCTTGAGTTTCTCCTCTCCGCCCTTGTTCTCCTCCCGCTGCTCGATGCTGCTGATTATCCTCCAGGAGGCTCTTCGGGCCCCGATCACGTTCTTGTAGGCGACCGATAATAAGTTCCTCTCCTCGACTGTGAGCTCCACGTTCATCCCCGCCACGTTCTTCATCGACACCACCATCTCTGCTCAGAAAACACATGAGAATAACTATTAAAATCATGTTTTATAATCAGCGTTACATCGATAGAGAGCACCTAACAGCCAGAAACAGAACAAGATCAGAATCTGTTTTATTACCAAGTAGGTTTACACATACCAGGAATTTGCTGTAAAGTAACTAAGTACATTTATCAAAGTACTGTTCTTAAGTACAATTTAGAGATACTTGTAACTTACTTGAGTATTTCCATTTGATGCTACTGTGTACTTCTACTCCACTACATGAATTTAATCCCTTTAGTTACTTCACAGATGTGGATGAATGATGTGAAATATAATCAAGTGTTAAATCAGACTTTAGTTCCACCTGGAGTAAATCCACAAGCTACCCTGCAGTATACAAAGTCATTCAGACTAGCTGCACCTTTACCAGCTTTGAGAACACTTTCATGATCAATCATTATAAAACATATCATATATATTATTATGAAATGGACCAATCTGCACAATCACTACTTTTACTGTCGCTACTTGAACTATATTTTGATGATAATACTTTTCTACTTTGACTTGAGGAACATTTTGAATGCAGGACTTTTACTGTAACAGAGTATTCCTACACTCTGGTACTTCTACTTTTACTCAAGTACAAGATCTGAGTACTTCTACTTTTACTCAAGTACAAGGTCTGAGTACTTCTACTTTTACTCAAGTACAAGATCTGAGTACTTCTACTTTTACTCATGTACAAGATCTGAGTACTTCTACTTTTACTCAAGTACAAGATCTGAGTACTTCTACTTTTACTCAAGTACAAGATCTGAGTACTTCTACTTTTACTCAAGAACAAGATCTGAGTACTTCTACTTTTACTCAAGTACAAGACCTGAGTACTTCTACTTTTACTCAAGTACACGATCTGAGTACTTAATATAATATAATATTGGGAGGGATGAAACCCTCTTTAATGGTCTCACATGCAGAGCACACAGTGAAATGGGTCCTCTGCATTTAACCCATCCTAGTACCAGGAGTCTAGTACTAGGAGAACTTGTACTTTTACTCAAGTACAAGATCTGAGTACTTCTACTTTTACTCAATACATGATGTGAGTACTTCTACTTTTACTCAAGTAAAGCTTTATAATAATTACTACTGGCTGCTGTCTCTTAGACAATTAAACGTCTGTAAATAATGTGTAATATATACTTCCACTTGTAATACTATCACCTGGCTGCTGTCTCACATCTGCTACTGGATTTGTATTTTTGTAAATCAGAATTCCAGCACACGTTAGTAATAAAAACATAAAATGAAGACATATAAGTACACAACCATGGCTAAAGAAATTAGAAGCCGCAATTTAAAAGTGATATAAATACCACATTCAAATTGTAAATTGTGTTTTTGTACTTTTATCTTTATTAAATATATTTTGGGTTAGTCCTTAATGCACGCTTTTAAAATCGTGTGCCACTGTTATTATGTTTATGATTTGTTTCCCACATCGTACCAGGGCTATACCAAAAAACAAAATACTTAAACGTTTAAATCTGGACTAGATGATTGCAAACACACAAAACTAAATATGTGTTTATTATGTCTAAACAAACATCTAACTGCTCCAATTTATAATATTTCTTTCATAATTGATTAATTATTTTCTAGATTTTTGGTTTGGTCTGACAGTAATAATCAAAATATATCCAAACCAGTGTCTCAAAGTCCAACTGGATATCTCTAAATGTCTTTTGTTGGCAGCCCATAACCTAGAAACATTCACTTTTATTTATACTTTTAGAGAAAAGCAGGAAATCTCCACATTTGAAGACCTGAAAACAGATGAAATATTGCATAAACCAACCTAATGCCCAGCTCTACTGTAGTCCCTAGTGACATTTGAATAGAAAACGTTGTCAAATGTGGCCGGAGTAATACAAAACAATAAAATAATGACAAATAAGTACACAACCATGGCTACAGAAAACGAGTAGCAGCTATTTAAAATAACTAAGTGACATAAATAACATATTAAAATTGTAAATTGTGTGATTTCTACTTTTATCTTAATTAATATTATGAATATACGATGTGTGGGACGATTCTGACATATATAATACTTTACAGTTAAGAGGATATATATTTTACACTACTTGAACACCGCAGAATCAGTTTTAGTTGGTTAAAAAATAATAAGATTAAACACGTATTAACAGTATGAATAGAAATAGAAATAAAGTGAGTTAAATTCTGATCCGGAGAATGTACATTTATACAGATATGTGTGCACGGTTATATATACATTTAGGCATGGTTCTTAATTAATATTAATCTCTTTATTTTTGCGGTTACCATGTCAATTGGGATGAATGAAGGTATTCTGATTCTGATTGTGAAGAACAAGAACAATTTATATTTGTATGCATGCTTATGAATTAATATTATGAATATACAATGTTAATTAGGACAAATCAATGTATTGTAATTCTGATTCTGGCTGCTTTCTCACAACTGGTACTGGATTTTTGTAAATTGTAAATCTACCTTATTATTTAATATTGTATGCATGTTTCTTAATTAATACTATGAATATACAGTGTTAATTTCCCCCCTGTGGGACCAATACATGTATTCTCATTCTGACACACTCAGTTTCTAATATGTAAGAGTTAAGAGGATATATCTTCTACATTACTATTTTAAATTGAGTATTTTCTAATGTTATCTTTAATATGTCATGCATGCTTCTGAATTAATATGAATATACAGCTATCTTTGGCTCTTTACTTTTGCTGTAACCATGCAAATTGGGACGAATACATGTTTTCTGGTTCAGAAGAACAACACCTTATATTATAACCTCTAGTATGTAATGCTTCTTGAGTAATATTATGTATAAACAATGTCAATCTAGAGCTATTCTGATTGTGATTCTGCTCAATGGTGCAAAAAGGGAGGAACTCCTGACAGCTCACTCCGCCATTTTGTTGTGGCCCCCTCCGCTAACGTTAACCACCGTCTGTTAGCTTGTTTATTTTTACCTCTAAAATAAAAACAACAACAACAACACAACCGTTACGACACCTTTCTTTTGTTTAAACGGCTGTCAGTTGAGGGGAAGAAAAAAAAACACGTTGCTAGGTAACAGTAGCTTCGTTAGCCGTACACCTAGCTACGTTAGCCACCTAGCAGCTAATCGAGAAGCTAACTAAGCTCCGTGAACATGTCCCGTTTTCAAGCCGAGAATGAGACACCTTCTTACCGTCATATCGCTCCGCCTGCTCGGCAAGCTTCGCCTGGTAAACCATGTCCTCTCGCTCTCCCATCGTGTGTGTTGAGTGGCAACGGGACGAGTATTCAGTGGTTAAAAATCTCGGAGGGTGTGTGTGTATGTATGTGTGTGTATGTGTGTGTGTCAGGTCTATCGGTACTTCCTCAGAAATGAACCGGGTCGATGAGTCGGTGTTTCCGCCCCACCGGCAGCGATGTGTGCTGGGATGGAGAGTAAAGATGGCGACCAGGTTTCATCCGAGCTGCACTAAACCAAATGCACATGAATCACTGAGCAACCTCCCACTGCACTTTTTATTTTTTAATACAGTTATCACAATCTCAGCAAGGTTATCAAGAGGAACAGACACCAAATACACCTTTTGAGTTAGCTGATGTAGTTTTTTAATTCTTGTATTATTTTTGTTCCTGTGATTTCCCTATAAATCCTTTAAAATATATTGTTTTAACAAACTCAAAGCTGCATTTAGTGTGTGTTTACTTTTTAATACAGTTATCAGAATCACAGCAAGCTTATCAAGAGGAACAGACACTAAATACACCTTTTGAGTTTGCTGATGTAGTGTTTTAATTATTGTTTAATTTTTGTTCATGTGAGTTCACTAATAATAATAATAATAATAATAATAATAATAATAATAATAATAATAATTTTAATTTATATAGCGTCTTTCATTAACCCAAGGTCGCTTAACAAGAAACATATAAGGACCTAACAATAAGACATAAGACAGGGCAGAAATGGAAGTGTTACATTGCAGGGTGGGGGGGGGAAGTGAGTTATTGTTGGAAGGCTTTGTTGAACAGATGAGTTTTCAGGGTTGATTTGAAGATGTTCAGAGAAGGGGCATTACGGATTTCAGCAGGGAGGGAGTTCCAGAGGATGGGGGCAGCAGGCAGCGACACTGAAGGCACGGTCCCCGAAGGTGCGGAGGCGTGAATGGGGAATGGAGAGCAGGCCGGAGTCTGAGGATCGAAGGGTGCGGGACGGGATGTATGGGTGGAGGAGATCTGTGAGGTACTGAGGGGAGAGGGCATGGAGGGACTTGTAGGTGACGAGGAGGAGTTTGTAGGTGATGCGGGACTTGACCGGGAGCCAGTGGAGGTTGAAGAGAGTGGGGGTGATGTGCAGCCAGGGCTTGGTGCGTCTGAGAACCCTGGCAGTTGAGTTCTGGATGTACTGGAGCCTGTTCAGGGTTTTGCTGGGAACCCCGGACAGGAGTCCGTTGCAGTAGTCCAGGCGGGAGGTAATGAAACAATGAATGAGCTTCTCTGCAACAGAGTCGGAGAGTGATGGCCAGAGTCTGGATATGTTTCTGAGGTGGAAGAAGGCTGATTTTGACACTGACTTGATGTGGTTCTGAAATGAAAGGGTTGAATCCAATACAACGCCAAGGTTGCGGACCTGAGGGGATGGTGAGATGATGGAACCGTTGATGTTGAGAAGCAGATCTCCAACCTTACCGAGCAGTGCCTTGGGGGCCACAACCATGAGCTCAGTTTTATTACTGTTAAGTTTGAGTAGGTTGGTGGTCATCCAGGTTTTAATTTCATGGAGGCAGTTGATTAGTGACTGAGGGGAGAGATGGGCAGAGGGTTTTGTGCTGATGTACAGTTGGGTGTCGTCGGCGTAGGAGTGGAAACAGAGACCATGGCTGCGGATGATATCACCAATCGGAAGGATGTATATTGTGAATAGAAGGGGACCGAGCACCGAGCCTTGGGGGACTCCATGATTGACGGAAGCACAGGGGGAGCTGCAGCCAGCGTGTGTGACAAACTGTGTCCGGTCAGAGAGGTATGAGTGGAAGAAGGAGAGGGCGGAGTCAGTGAGGCCAAGGAGTTCAGACAGGCGGGTGAGGAGGATATTATGGGAGATGGTGTCAAAGGCTGCAGAGAGGTCTAGGAGAATTAGTAACTATGATAAGTGTTTATGTTGTAATAACGTAATACATTTCATTTGTGTAAACAGTTATCTCAATCTCAGCAAGCTTATAGAAAGGAAGAGACACTAATTACACCTTTTGAGTTTGTAATGTGGTGTTTTTTTGTCTGTTTGTATTTTCATGTGATTTCTCTTTATTTTTTGTGGTAATACTGTTTAATATATTGTTATGACAATTAATCTTTTGTACTAACAACAAATGATTACATTATTAAGATGTGATTTCAATTAAACATGTTTTAATAAGATAAGATGTACTTTATTGATTCCAATTTGGGAAATGTTTGCGTTGCAGCAGCATAAAAAGACAAGATTGTACTTACGTAGAGTACTTGCGTATATGTTACTTCCCACCTCTGGAAAATGTTTACTGATATAAGATACGTTTACAATGTGTTAGACGTTCAAAGGTATCATGGCATGTTTCAAATTATCACGGTATATAACGTGAAAATGCTTTATTACAGATATTTATGATTTTTCATTTATTTTGATCATCAATATGTCAAACAATGCTTTTAGAAAAATATCATAGCATGTGTTTTCACTGAGAATAGAAACAAACCATATTTAATTGCAGTTTTCTTGCTGGCTGCAGGATACAGTACGTAGCTTTTAGCACGCTGATGCACATTCTGATGAACTTGTCTGTGGACATTCCTACAGCAGATGGACACGACCCAACTTCTAATAACCCAGGGTCACATGGATGGAAATAAATACTGCAGCGTGAATGAAAAAGTTATTCAGAGCCTCCAGACTCCATTGACAAAAACTGTAATTTAACATTTGCAGAACATGAGAGTTTCTCCTCTGCCTCAATGTTGTGTTATTTTGTGACTTTAGTGATTAAAACCTTTATTTTGGATTCACCAAAATAACACAACGTTTCTAACAGTACAAGGCAGCTGTAAACAAGTCACTTTTCTGGGTTGAATTACAGTTTTTTTGTCAATGGAGTCTGATGGCTTTAAAGAGAGGATATAATGCCTTTAGTTCTCCACCTTAAAAGACTCTTGCAGGTAATGGGGTGAAGATATTCTAAATATAGCGTACACTTAAACTGATATTGATTTTATAGCCGTCTAAAAAACATCAGTACAGCAGTAAATTCATTAGCTTCCTGTTGAAGGCAATACACTGACTATAGAGAAGTACCCTAAACAAAGACCACTTTAAAACATCCAAACCAGAGGTGGGAAGTAACCAAGTACATTTACCCAAGTACTGTACTTAAGTACAATATGGAAGTACTTATATTTACTGCTACTTTGTACTTCTACTCCACTACATTTATTTAGTTACTTTACAGATGTGGATGAATGATGTGAAATATAACCAAGTGTTAAATCAGACTTTAGTTCCACCTGGAGTAAATTATTAACTATATTTTGATGATAATACTTTTCTACTTTCACTTGAGGAACATTTTGAATGCAGGACTTTTACTGTAACAGAGTATTCCTACACTCGGGTACTTCTACTTTTACTCAAGTACAAGACCTGAGTACTTCTACTTTTACTCAAGTACAAGAGCTGAGTATTTCTACTTTTACTGAAGTACAAGATCTGAGTACTTCTACTTTTACTCAAGTAAAAGATCTGAGTACTTCTACTTTTACTCAAGTACAAGATCTGAGTACTTCTACTTTTACTCAAGAACAAGACCTGAGTACTTCTACTTTTACTCAAGTACAAGATCTGAGTACTTCTACTTTTACTCAAGTACAAGATCTGAGTACTTCTACTTTTACTCAAGTACAAGATCTGAGTACTTCTACTTTTACTCAAGTATAAGATCTGAGTACTTCTACTTTTATTCAAGTACAAGATCTGAGTACTTCTACTTTTACTCAAGAACAAGACCTGAGTACTTCTACTTTTACTCAAGTACAAGATCTGAGTACTTCTACTTTTACTCAAGTACAAGATCTGAGTACTTCTACTTTTACTCAAGTACAATAGATCCGAGTACTTCTACTGAAGTACATGATCTAAATACTTCTCCCTCTGATCCAAAGCATCTTATCTTTTCACACCAACAGAATCAAAGCATTAAACAGTTCATTTGTCATGGGGGTGACTTTATTTACTAGTATATTAACACATTACATGCTACAGAAAATAAAAAGGTAATTTCAATTGTCTTGAAAGAATATAGTGTTATAATAAAATGGCACATTTTGATATTAACACAATTTCCACTGGCATTTGGCCATCCTTCCCTCTTTGAAGGAAAGGAATGACTTCGTGCAGGGCGACTGAAATAATAAAAATACTTCTTGGTGGTTTTATTGGCAATTAATAGGATAGTGATTTATGAAGTTAAACACCTGCTGTGTGCAGAGAGAGGGGTACAGAAGCGTGATCTGATCATAAATGCAGATTAAAATGGACTGTGTCAAAAGCCAGATCCGTCCAAGAAGTCAACACAAATATATTTTAAATAGTAAGTATTGGAGGATTGGAAGAATGCAAACTTACAAATAAAAAGTGAAATCAGGGAAGAGTTTGTAAAAGATAAAGCTATGAGATCATGGACACTAATGTGTGGGAGGATTAGAGGATACCCTTAAAAAAATGAGGAGATATAATGCAAACTCAGTGTAGAGAAGGGTCAAATATTCATATTTCATCCCCTTTGATCAGCACATGTTGTTATAGTGCCATCTAGAGGTGACAGGAGTATTGCACCATGACATCTTACACTCCTCAATTAACCTTTAAAAGCTCAAATAAAGACTTTTACAAAAGGTCTAAACTGCACCAGTCTGCATTCTGATAAACGAGGGGGATTGTGAGGTGTCAACAAATGGATTTTAAAATGTCAAACAGTGGAGGCGTGTGGCGCAGTGGGTCACAGGTTCAAACCCCACTGCAGTCAGCATGTCGTTGTGTCCCTGAGACACTTCACCCCAAATTGCTCCTGTGGGGATTGTCCACAGTATTGAGTATGTAAGTCGCTTTGGATAAAAGCGTCTAACAAGTGACATGTCATGTAAAAAAACATGGAATCTGGAGTACAACGTATATACCTATTTGGCCGAGTTATTAGTGATAAAGACATGGCTGAAAAAAAAAGAAAATGTCAGCTTGTCCATCATAAATAGGGCTGCAAAAATCAGTAAATTGACAGAATGAAGTATTTTTTAAATGCAAAATGTGCCTCTCATATGCAGGTGTTTGCTGTGTTTCTCTGTTTTATTCCATTAATTGAATATATTTGGGTTTTTGTCTCACTAATCAAGACTTGTGAAACACTGAGATGGACATTTTCCTCCTAGTTTTCTGAATTTACAGACCAGTTAATAATAAT